TTCAGGAGTCCAGGGAGCAAAAGCATTTGAAAAAATCATCAAACCAACACTAGATTCATATAATATGGATCCTTAGGAACACATTCCATCACATCTTTATGCAAAACATGAGAACACCCCATGTCCGAGGTTTTACCCATTTCGTCCCACTGTGCGACGTCACAAATTGAGATGCATTATACTTGAGTTTAGCCATTGATTTGATACTTTGAAGTTAACCTGCTAAATGTACCCTTGTTTGGAAGAAATCAAAGTAAGATTATATAGCCCAGTTTATTTTTCAAATGTTGACTACTCGCAAAAACTATATTTTTCATTAACTCTCTCACAGGTTACAGGGCGAAACCAAGAGTGTTTGCTTTCTCTCCGTACACATGTAAGCGAATCAATTTTCACTGAAAATCACTTTCGATCGTTTAAAAAATACTTTGAATAATTCTCCCGGGTTTCGCCGTAGACATGTTAAAACACCTAGTTGAAATGAAAATGACCTTAGTCACCTTCGTTAGACTGTATAATTTCATGTGATTTTGTATGATTAAAGCCGTTTCAGCCTTAAAATTAAAAATTGTTTGCGGTAGATGCGATGGCACCATGCACTTTTTGAAGTCAGTTGTTACAGTTTCGGTCGAGATGTTTGTCCCTTTCCATCTCACGTGGAATCAGTGTTAGTTTTAAGTGTATCTTTCTCAAAACAAGTAGCTTCTTGAAATCAGTGTGTAGACACTATTCTATGTTCAACCGTCATCATTGTCTAAAATATAGGGTTTTCAATAAGATCACGGCCTCCATGTTTAATAAATTTGGAAGTCAAAAAGTGAATTTTCTACACACTGGAAAAAAAACACATTGGATCTAGAGTCCAGACTCTTGAAAACATTGACAAGAAAAAGGACTCTTGATTCAATCAGAGTTAAGCTTAAATCAAGAGGAAATCCGCTCAAATTAAGAGACTTGGTTCTTGATTTAAGCTTAAATCTGATTGAATCAAGAGTACTTTTTCTTGTCGATGTTTTTAAGAGTCTGGACTCTAGATCCAATGTGGTTTTTTTTCCCAGTGCATAGTACGGAGAAATTTCACAAAATTTTCTAAGGAATCCGCACAAACGTTCTCTTGTAAAAAAAATAAGTTGCCCAGTTAAATTTGGCATCAGCTGATGTACCTTGGTTCCTTTCTGCTAAATGCGGTCCATTTGGACTGCATTTTGCAATTTGGAACTATAAATTCTAGCTCTTCTAGAAAAACACTTATGTGCAAAGGGAAACTAATGGCACATACGTTGTTTATAAACCGGGGTAGAATCTATAGATCAAAATTCCAAAATGTAGTCCATTTAAACCTGGCGAATCATCACAAAACTCCCAGTTTCATTTACCGGTGGATCCAACCCGGCGTTTCTTGGGCAAGAACCCCTGCTCGATCTCCCAGAGCGTCTTGCCTTGGGTCTCCGGCAAGACGAACGCCCCGAAGAAGATGGTGACGAAGGAGGCGGCGGCGTAGACGAAGAGCATGCCCCAGATCTGGAGCGCCCTCATGGCGACCTCGTAGGCCTTGATGAAGACGAACATCATCCCGGCGCCGAGGGCGAGGCTGACCCCGGACATGGACCCGCGGACCCGGAGCGGGAACACCTCGCCGGACATCAACCACGGCAGCGGCGTCACGGCGATGATGCTGGAGACGATGTTGACGATGACCAGCGTGATTGGAAGCCACTCGTGGGGTCGCTGTCCGACCGGCGTGTCCCGGTACAGGTACTCGTAGGTCCCGGCCCCGACGAAAGCGACGGTCATGAGGATCGCCGACAAAGCCGTCGAGAACCTCCGGCCGACGAAGGCCGTGAAGTAGATGCCCAGCGTGGAGTTGGCGATGATCCGCGCGATGGAGATGATGATCGAGACGGTTAGAGGGTCGTAGGTCGTGCCCAGCCGCTCCACGAAGTCAATCGTGTAGTACATGATGTGGAAGACGCCCGTTAAGACCTGGATAAAGAATTTATATTTTTAGGCGCATGCATCGTAAACTTAGAACGTAACTATAAATATGGAGTAATTTTAGAGTGTAAAAAGTGCTGATATGAATTAAAAAGCCTACGGGAACGAATTAAAATTAGACAAGTTGGTTTTTGCAATCGCTAGCGATAGCAATATTCGTCATGGGAACTTTTGCTTCTGGGATATGAAAATTTTAAGGTACAGTTCGTTAGTAGTATCTTCAGAATTGAAGGGGCTATGTAATTTTGTGTCGACAACTCTTTTTTAACATTTTTAATTTTTTTTCTTTGCATACAAGAAAGCTGTTATTTACCA